AGAGTTATAGAGAGGGAGGGAGGGAGAAAGAAAGAGAGAGGAGGGAGAGGGAGATGGAAAGAGGGAGAAACAGAGGGGAAGGGACAGGGAGAAAGTGAGAGGTGGGAAGGGTGGAGGGAGAGAGACGGAGGCTTGCCTTTGGCTACCTAGTGAATGCATGAAATGGGTAATATTTGAAACAGAGACTTCCCAGGGACCTCCGTGATCACACCACATTTGCCTCACCGATGCCGGCTCCCAGTATCGTGGCAGGAGATTAATGCTACCTTTTGTCCGTCCCTTTCCTTCAGGACTGCGTTCCCGAGGAGCCGGAGGGTGCCAAGCTTGTCAGCCCTCCCCCAAGCTGGCCAGACCAGGGAGAAATCACGTTTCAAGGATATCACATGAAATACAGAGAAAACAGCCCCTTGGTTCTCACTGACATAAACCTGAGCATTCGGGGCCGAGAAAAAATCGGGATCGTCGGCCGGACGGGCTCCGGTGAGCCACTTTGCATCTGTTTTTCTGATTTATTTCACGTCCAGTGAAACCCTTGACGTCAATGACTGACATGGCCCATGTGTGCAGAGGGGATTGTCTTTGTGCGCATAAGCCCTATGTGCACGACCTGCCCATGCACTGAACTGTCCTGGTTGTGATCAGTGTTCCCTCTAAGCTGAGTTAGTGTGAGCTAGCTCACAGTTTTTTAGCCTCCGACTCACAGACTTTTGTCTTAGCTCAGGAAGGACAGCTCCAGAGCAACCTAATTGATGCAGTCGCCAAATTGCTCGCTCATTACTTTAATGCCAGTAGCTCACAAAGTAGAATTTTTGCTCACAAGACTCCACAGCTTAAAAGGGAACACTGATTGTGATCGTGCTGACTTTCCCCTCTGCCTCTGCGTGGTTGTGGTGCCTGCGTGCAGAGACCTTGTCTGAGCTTCCCTCCCCACGACCAGCAAGTCCGCTTTCTGAACACTGCCAATCACGGAGAGGGAGCAGGTGTGCATAGCTGGTGTTCACAACAAAGGCAGGGAGCAGGAACAAGATGCTCATAGCTGAGTCCGTGTGAGCCAGCTCACAGTTTTTTGGCCTCCAGCTCACACTTTGTTGTCTTACCTCGGGAAGGAGGGCTCCAGAGCAAACTAATTGATGCAGCAGCCAAAGCGCTCGCTCATAGCTTTAATGCCAGGAGCTCACAAAGTAGAATTTTTGCTCACAAGACTCCACAGCTTAGAGGGAGCCAGAGTCATGCATGCTTCCACTCTGCGGGCATTCATTTAGCATGTGGATGGGTTATGTATACAAGGCTGCGGTCTTCCCGTGAAGATCCTGGTCACTGTAGCTGGGATCCCACAATCAGCAACAGAGCCCCCACCTCACCAGTTCACCACACCCCTATTTTAGTACCCACAACCCCGTGAAGTAGATCAGGCTGAGAAAGAGTGACACCCCCCCAGGATCACACTGCCTAGATAAATGCTGGGAGATTTGGGGAGTGCCAGAGCAGGGATTTGAATCCAGGTCTCCCACAACTCCTTGACCACTTTAGCCACTGCGCCATATCGGCTCTTCACCCACTCCTGTCTGATGGAAACCATCAAGGGGAGCGGTGGCACAGTGGGTATATCCCACTGTCTTAACATCCGAACTGTGTCAGTTCGAGCCCCGCGCTGGTGTGAGCAGCCAGCCTGTTGTCCCCAGCTCATCGTCCACCCAGTGATTCGAAAGCTTCGGCGAGTAGATAAAATGGGAACCACTCCTTAGAGAGGGTGGGCACGCCAATCTCCGTTGTGGGAGGGTGTTAGCTGACAGTCAGACATCCTGGTCGAGGCTTGGAAGGCGAAATAGCTTCTCGGCTACGGAATAATCCCTGCAATGGATGTTCCGGCCAGGTGGTGGCAGTGTAGCGATTGACATACAGGTCCTGAAGCCTGGCCAGCAAGCAGCCGTGCGGAAAACGACGGAGCCAAGCCAGAAGATGTCTATACCAGGCAGTGACGGCGCATGCAATTAAAAATGAATATATGTTGTCTTCCCTATCCCCTACAAACATTGTTAGTCCCTTCTCTATATTGAGTAACTGTACATCGCTTTGAGCCCACTGGGGAAAGCGATTAATAAATGGAAAGTATTATTATTATCATTATAATCATCATCATCATCATTATTGTTATTGTTATTATTCCTTTTTAAAGCAACGTGGACAGAGTTGGGTGCTTTCAGAGGATAGCTGTGTTGGTCTGTAGTCGAACAGCTAGATTCGGTAGCACCTTAGGGACCACCACCTTAGAGATACCATACGTTGTCATCTGACGAAGGGAGCTTTGACTCTCGAACGTTTATGCTCTGAAAATGTTGTTGGTCTCTAAGGTTCTACTGAAGTCAACTCTAGCTGTTGGGTACTCATGACCTGAATGTGATGATGCTCACCCAACCGTTTCCTGTATGGATTTTACTGCACCTTTGCCAAAAATTAGCAATTCGCCTACTAAGTGGAACTTCGAATTGTCTGTCATTTCCCTTTTTTTCCAAAGCAAAACAAAATGGCTTTGAACCCCAGATGCCATCCTCTTGCCCCGGCATCTTTTCTCATGGGTTTGTTTGTAATAACTGATGATGCATCTCATCTCTGACAGGTAAATCATCCTTAGGAGTGGCCCTGTTTCGACTCGTAGAACCCGCTGCCGGCACCATCCTGATCGATGGGGTTGACATCTGCACCATAAGTTTGGAATCTCTCCGGACAAAGCTTTCAATCATTCCTCAAGATCCCGTTCTGTTTGTAGGTACAGTAAGGTAGCTGTTGCTGTAATTATAAATTAACCTCTCCTGCAGAAATGAAACATAACCAGTAACGCTAATTTTCATACAAGAGCATAAGAGTCCTAAACGTGCAAGTGTACAGACATAGAGTCTCTTCCCCATTACCAGGAACTGGGGTACAGAGAGGTGCCTTTGTGTGAACTGTTGAACACACAGAGAATCTACGCACACTTGGCAATGTGTGCTTGTAGATCAAGTGTGAGGGAGGAGGATGCGGTTCCTCCCTTCTCCTATGTTCGTTCATCATCCCTGGAATGTAGACTTAAAAGGACTAACATTTATTCGTAGGGAGTGATTCTAAACCAGCCGCCAGATATCCTGTACATGCCACTGCATTGCAACCGACCAGTGGTGACCCCAGGAAGGGGCTTTCAAGGCAACTGAGAAACAGTGGTGGTTTGGGATTGCCTTCCTCTGCAGACCCATCAAACACTGCACATAAATACATCATAAATAATCAGCCGAGTTAAAGATAATAGGGAGTCTTGCACCATGAGGATCCAGACTGCAACAGGAGCTGATATGCATTTGTTGTTCAGTCGCATAGTCGAGTCCGACTCTTCGCGACCCCATGGACCAGATCACGCCAGCCAGGTTATGATATGCATTACAACCCCATAAACTGTTTCGGCAGGAAACCTCCTCCACTCCCACTGCAATCCAGATACTTCCACCGTGCACGACTCTCTGTGTGACTTTGAATGCATCTTCTTTGAGGGTCCTCTCTCTTTTCTAAAATTATGAGACAATATTGCACTGATACGAATCAGTTTGCTGCTCACTCGAATGGTGTTTGTGTATATATACGTGTGAGTGTGTGTGTATTAAAAAAGGCTGTACTCCAAGTCTGAGACTTCCCAGCACTATTTTGCCCAGGGAGTCGAGGCCATAAGGCACCCATTGTTAACTATGACTATATTGTGCCATAAATGAGCATGGTCCTTTATGGAAGTGAATGAAACTGTCCCTTCCTGAAAAGGATATGATCTAGAGGCTGTGAAGAAGCGACAAATTCCCCCCAAAGTATATTACCCAGAAGTATTATGTTATCCCACAATTGTTGCAGCAATAAATTCCTACCATTGATGCAGCAATAGATTATCAAGCAACTTAATTCTGGCCCCGGTCACACGGGCCAGATAACACGGGGGTGGGGAGGTGTGGCTCTTTGCACCGGTGCAATTAGACCCTCCAGAACGCGATCAGATGCGACGGCGGCACACTGCGGTTTCATCTGTCAGCGCATGCGCGTCAAGGAGGATAGCCGGAGGAAAGCCGCGCGCCGGTGTAATCACACGGAACGATTCTGTCAGCAGCCCATGGCAAACCATTTGCTAGTACATTTGTTGAGATACTTTTTAACCGTGTCGCTTTGGCGGCACGCCACGGGTTGGCCACAGGTGCGCAATGCTTGCCAGATGGTGCGGTGTGATCGCGCCCTGAAAATCCGCCCAGCATTCGTGGCTCCCCCGCGGCAAATTTGGCGTGTGAATGGGGCCTCTGTTTTGCTTTTCAAATCGTGACTGGTGGTTTTAGTTTCAGAAGAACAATTAGCTCTTACTCTTTTGGCAACACAATGTTATAATAACTATGCTCAGAGGAGTTAGGTCAGTGTTAATTGTGTATCGAATATAGTTTGAGAATGCTCTTATCTGTGTAGATAAAGAAAAAAGATTAATTTCGATGGATCCTCATTGTTTTTTATAATTGGTTGACATAACAGCCAAGGAAGCAGTTTTATTTTGTTTGTTCTTAAGTAAAATCTTTGACTCCACGAGCATTTATTAAGATACCTGGCACCTGTGGACAGCTACTCCTTAGGATGATTCTTCAGCTGTCACGGAAATGTCTATACCATGAATAGCAATAGACCTAAATTTGCCTGGGCGAACTCTATGGTTTGAGGGCAAAAAAAAAAAACCCATAGAGTTTCACCCAAATACCAGAGTGTCCATGCACAACATCCCCAACACGATGATGTCACTTCCAGGTGACATCATCACATCGGGGATGTCACACAGTGTCCCCACCCATCCCCAGAATGCCCCCCCAAATCCCTCCACCAGAGCGACAAGGGGACCTGGCAACCCCACAGCCCGTTCGCGGGGAGGGCGGGGTATAAATACAATAAATAAATAAATAAATAAATCTGCTCTAGGTTCCTTGCTAGTCACCCTTTCCCTGTATCACCTGTACTTGACCTTTGAAATTGTTGTTTTTCTGCTGCCGCTACAGTTTCGTGGAATGGTCTCCTGGAGGCCATGCACCACACCCCTTCCTTGCCTCAAAGGACTTGCAACACTCCTTTATTTTTGAGGGTGCTTGTTGTCCCATTCAGAGAACATGTTAACTGTGTGTATCGGGAGGATCCTGGATAATGTGTGCTCCCAACAGGCACGGTTGATGGCTTCCAGATACTTCCAGCTTCCAGATCATATACTTCTGAAAAGCCCTCTTGTCTTTCTAGATTCGATCCAAGTCTATCTAGTCTATTTCTATCACTGGCCAGCCAGAGATGACATTTCTGGTGGGTCACAAGAAAGCAGGCCTCTCGTGATTTCTGAAACACCAAAATGGAGTCAAGTGAACCATCCACTAGAATTACTGTTTTGCAGGAGACAATAATTTGGGCTTTTTATTTTTCTTTCAAAAATGAACAGTGTGATTCTTTCATTGTAATTCTTGCCTTACAGGTACAACTTAGATCCTTTTAACAATTACACAGATGATCAAATCTGGCAAGCTCTGGACCGAACGTTTATGCAAAACACAGTATGTTGTTTACTTTTTCCCTGTTCCCCATACTTTCCCCCCACCCCATCGTTCTCTATTATTTACTTGATTTAAAATGACAATACATCGAACATTGTGATTCTTGGTTAACTGCGTGTCATTAATCACAATAGACGGAAGCGGCGGCAAAGAATAATGCGGTGGCACTATAATACTCCATCCCATTAAAATCTCTAAACAATTAATGCTCGCTAATTACATCTCCCTTCCATTGTTCCTTTCTTTTTTTATTTTAAATGACAGGAATAATTGATGATCGTAGCATATGGTAGATTTTAAAGATTAGTAAAGCATTCAGAGGGGCAGGCTGTGACCTTTGGATATAAGGGGACTACGCCCACGCTGCAAAGGGGGAGCTCAGCAGGTGGGGGTCAGGGAGTGCCAAATATGATATCGTGGCTGGGAGGTCGGGGTAGGAAGAAGAAGAAGAAGAAGAAGAGGAGGAAGAGGAAGAGGAAGAAGAGGAAGAAGAGGAAGAAGAAGGAAGAAGAAGAAGAAGGAAGAAGAAGAAGAAGGAAGAAGGAAGAAGAAGGAAGAAGGAAGAAGGAAGAAGGAAGAAGGAAGAAGGAAGAAGGAAGAAGGAAGAAGGAAGAAGGAAGAAGGAAGAAGGAAGAAGGAAGAAGGAAGAAGGAAGAAGGAAGAAGGAAGAAGGAAGAAGGAAGAAGGAAGAAGGAAGAAGGAAGAAGGAAGAAGGAAGAAGAAGAAGAAGAAGAAGAAGAAGAAGAAGAAGAAGAAGAAGAAGAAGAAGAAGAAGAAGAAGAAGAAGAAGAAGAAGAAGGTCAAGCTGGTCTGGACCTGATAGGATTCTTAACACTGCCTAGATAAATGCTGGGAGATTTGGGGGGTGTTTCTGAGGAGGGTGGAGTTTAGGGCGGATGTGACATCACTTCTGGGTGATGCTCTAGGAATTTTCCCAAGCTCTGTGGTAAAGACCATAGACCCTCGGAGAAGCTTCTACGGCATCACTACGGAGACCATTTTTTCCCTCCCTGTTCCTCTTTTTCTCAAGGGTGAGAGATTGGGGCCAGTGTGGGGAAACTCCCTTTGGGCCCAGGCCAGTGTAGCATACGGGTTCTGTGGTCAGTGTCTCCAGGAGTCATTTCGTAGAAAAAGAGGTGCAGGAACTTATTAGCATAACTCATTAGCATAGCTTATTTGCATATGTCACCTCACAGAGGAGGGAGAGCTTTTACCTGGATAAACCTTGGCCTTAAAGGTGCCACTGGACTCTTTTGGATTGCTAGCTGGGGGGGGTGCTCTGCAACTTACTTGGCTGCTTCTTGCGCCTTGTGGCCTGGGGCTGTTGGGAGCAGGGGGTGGGGCTTGTTGCATGTGCCTGCCCCCTGGGCTCTTTACTGCTGGAGCTCCGCTCCTGTGCACCTCTGCAGGAAATGACCCCTGATTGTCTCCCTTGTAATTTATTTTACATTCAAAGCAGCTGAGAGGGAAGAATCAAACCAGGTCCCTAGTGCTACAGGAGGGGGTTTTAAACTGTTCCCTCTTCCCCACAACAAGCCAGTTTCCTGAGTTAAGTTTAAATGAATGCATGTATACAAAGGGGGAGAGCATCAGAAGCTGTTGGAAAGTTTGGCAAAATGAAGGACAGGAACTGGCTGAAGGAAGAACGGATCAAGAAATCATGTGCCAAGATCTGGCTGGCAGGCAGGCAGGCATTTGGGGGCATGGGGGTGGCCAAATGCAGTAATGTGATTGCAGCCAATAACAGAACGCATCTGTTTCTTTTCAGGTTTCCAAACTGCCAGGAAAGCTTCAGGCAGAAGTTGTTGAGAACGGAGAAAATTTCTCCGTGGGGGAACGGCAGCTACTCTGCATGGCGAGAGCGCTCCTTCGGAATTCCAGAGTGAGTTTTGAAACAGCCTGGCAAGGATCGGTGCGGAATACAAAGGAGGGTCCCATGTGGACCGCGCCGTCTGCCCGTTTGGCTGTTCGTATGATGGCTGCGCAAGAGGCCCATTAGCACTGGCGTAACCGATGCCTCCGTAGCATGGCTCACGCTTCCCGTGTGCAAAAACACCCAGGCGCATCCCTCACTCTTCCTGTGCAAGGATCGTGGCCGGCAGATGTTCGGAGAGGCCTTTCTCTGTGCAACAGCCCAGTGAAAGTGACCGCTGCGTGTCATGTCAGAACGGGATACAATTTATTTATTTTTTCCCCAAATCAGTTTTATTCAATTTTTTCATTAACTCATTAACAACAGGGTTATGCAAGATGGGCATATATGTATAATTAACATAACGGAGAAAATTTCTCCGTGGGGGAACGGCAGCTACTCTGCATGGCGAGAGCGCTCCTTCGGAATTCCAGAGTGAGTTTTGAAACAGCCTGGCAAGGATTGGTGCTGAATACAAAGGAGGGTCCCGTGTGGACCGCGCCGTCTGCCTGTTTGGCTGTTCGTATGATGGCTGCGCAAGAGGGCCATTAGCACCGGCATAACCGATGCCTCCGTAGCATGGCTCACGCTTCCCATGTACAAAAACACTCGGGTGCATGCCTCACTCTTCCTGTGCAAGGATCGTGGCCGGCAGATGTTCGGAGAGGCCTTTCTCTGTGCAATGGCCCAGTGACAGTGACCGCTGCGTGTCATGTCAGAATGGGATACAATTTATTTATTTATTTTCCAAATCAGTTTTATTCAATTTTTTCATTAACTCATTAACAACAGGGTTATGCAAGATAGGCATATCGATATAATTAACATATTTTTCGTTATACATCTCAAGCAGGTTCCTGGAGAGGGAGCATAAAAATGTTCTAAACAGACATAAAATAAATTCCTAGGAGGGCATTGCATGTGTAAAGTGCTGTGAAGTCGCGGGGGACTTACAGTGACCCCAGCAAGGGGCTTTCAAGGCAAGTGAGAAGCAGAGTACCCCTTGGTGGTCTCCCTTCCAAGTACTGACCCTGCTTAGCTTCCAAGATCTGATGAGAACAGGCTATACAATGCTGCCTTCCCTCCCAAGAGGGTATTACAACAACATATTTTTGAATGTTTTAGCTAATCTCTGATACCTACCTGGAGATTTTGGGGGGTGGTGCCTGGGGAGGGTGGTGTTTGGGATGGGGAGGGACCTCAGCAGAGGTCATTTCGGGGGGGATCGCGGGGGAACGCAGTTCCCCCGGGTGAGGTGTGGGGGGCGGGGCACATGATGAAGCCCCGCCCCCTGCTTCCGGCCGCCCCGCTTCCGGCCCTCATTCAGCCAGGAGGAGGCAGGAGAAGAGGGAGGGTAAGTTGCTTCCTCCCCGCCTCTCCCCACCCCTGCCTGCCTGGGGCCAGGGAGGGCCTTCGCGGGGCTTCCTTGTACTCCCGCCGGTCTTGCAGGTCCACCGCCGGGCCCCTCATGGGGCTCGGCAGTGGAGCTGCAAGGCCGCCGGCGGCGTCCGGGACTGTTGGGGGCGGGGTGTGTGGCCTTATGACACACGTCCGGTGATGCCAGGGGGTGTGGCCTTATGACACACTTCCGGTGATGTCAGGGGGTGTGGCACATGCTAATGAGTTATGCTAATGAGTTCCCCTAGCTCTTTTTCTACGAAACGACCCCTGCCGCTCCTTCTCTCCAACCCCTTTCCTTCTGCAGCTCCTTCCCCCAGGCACTTTTTCTGCCTCCCAGCTGACTTCTGGCATCGAAGCCTGCCTCAAGGGGGCAGAGTCCTCAGGGACAGGCTGCAGGGGCGAGAGCGGCAGGTAGGAGTGGAAAGGTGATACCACCTGTACTCTCCTTTGGCACATTCAATTGCACCCTGGCAGATCTTTGATGTGATTAGGATGGATCTGGATTTGAAGACGCAGTGCCATCAATGTTTTGTGTCAATCGGGTCCATGGCATCCATGCCAGCATCGTTTTATTTTATTGGGGTGGGTGGGTATTTTTCACATGAGTCGTAGTGGCTCAGGGGTTAAGATGCTGAGCTGGAGACTGGAAGGTCTGTCGTTTGGCAGTTCGAGACCCGAGTGTCGCGTGAAGGAGTGAGCTCCCGTCTCTGGCCTCAGCTCCTGCCAACCTAGCAGTTTGAAAGCAAGAAATTGCAAGTAGATAAATAGGTACCGCTTCAGTGGGAAGGTAACAGCGTTCCATGTGCCTCGGTGTCTAGTCATTCTACGTGACCACGGAGAAGTCTTTGGACAGCGCTGGCTCTTCGGCTTGGAGGCGGAGATGAGCACCAACCCCCAGAGTCAGATTCAACTAGCTTTTGAGCAAGGGAAACCTTTACCTTTACTATTTTTCATATGTGCATGTATGTGTTTTTGTATGTGTGCATATGAGCGTGGATGCACTTGGAAGTCGTGGTGACCCCTGGTGACTGACCTCTACTGGTGGCCTGGAGTATATTCAGGGAGGTGGCTGAATAAAGCCTGCCCCCACTTCCCACTTCTGGTATTCCAAGGAGGTCTCCCATCCAAGCACTTGTCAGAGTCGGCCCTGCTTAGCTTCCAAGATCTGTTGAGATTGGGCTTGACTGGCATCATTTTAGAGAAGAATTTGGCCTGGGGGGGAGGGGGACAAGATTGCCTGGTTCTGCCGTGCTACGGGTCTAATCAGGATCAGACCTGTTAGGCATTTTCAAATGGCCGGGTTCCTTAAAAAGGTGTTGGTGTCCATGTGTTAGACCCACGGATGCTGCAAAGTCTAGTTTGGTTCTGAACCCATACTGATGCCTAGATTACCCCGAGGTAAAGTCTTTCACCATGGATAACTTGGCCATCTATACTATCTAACCCTATACTGACTGGAATCTAGACCTTGCAAGTCACACTTGGCCATCTATTTCAGCCCATATCATCTTGTCAAGTGGAAAGAAGGATTTTGCCCCCTGTTGGGTGCCAAAGGGTGTTAAAATGGACTCCTGTGTGTTATCCAATCCCACAGCAGTGTCATGAAAGACCCCCAAATAGGATTCGAAACCATTTTCTTTTATCCTCTGTGTCTCTGAATACAGGCACATTTAGGTAGACAGACTATCACTCTGAGTCATCACAGTATGATATGACTCATTGTCCTGATGCTGGTGAGTCACATATCTGTAAATCCCACTTGGCCTCATCAGGATTTTAGTTATGAGCATTCCTGGTTGTTGTTGTTCTTGTTCAGTCGCACAGTCGAGTCCGACTCTTTGCGACCCCATGGACCAGTTCACGCCAGGCCTTCCTGTCTTCCGCCGTCCTCTGAAGTTTGCTCAATTTCATGTTCGTTGCATCTATGACATTGTCTAACCATCTCATCCTTTGTCGTCCCCGTCTTCTTTGACTTTCAATCTTTCCCAGCATCAGGGTCTTCTCCAGTGAGTGCTGCCTTCTCATTGGGTGGCCAAAGTATTTGAGCTTCAGTTTCATTATCTGGCCTTCCAGGGAACAGTCAGGGTCGATTTCTTTTAGGATTGACTGATTTCATCTTCTTGCAGTCCAAGGGACTCTCAAGAGTCCTCTCCAGCACCATAGTTCAAAAGAATCTATTCTTCAGTGCTCGGCCTTCCTTATAGTCCAACTCTCGCAGCCTGGCAGTTCTCTATCCACGTATTGTTGAAGCCTAGCTTGTAGGATCTTGAGCATGACCTTGCTAGCATGTGATATGAGTGCAATTGTGCGATAGTTTGAACATACCTTGGCATTGCCCTTCTTTGGGATTGGAATGTATACTGACCTTTTCCAATCCTGTGGCCACTGTTGTGTTTTCCAAATTTGCTGGCAAATTGAGTGCAGCACTTTAACAGCATCATCTTTTAAGACTTTGAATAGCTCAGCTGGGATACCATCACCTCCACTAGCTTTGTTGTTAGTAATGCTTTCTAAGGCCCATTTAACTTCACATTCCAGGATGTCTGGCTCGAGGTCAGTGATTATACCGTCGTGGTTGTCAAGGACGTCATTCCTGGTACAGCATCCTTAATAGCCCAGGCTAGCCTGATCTCATCAGAGCTTGGAAGCTAAGCAGGGAGAGTACTTGGATGAGTGACCACCAAGGCTCTGCAGAGGAAGGCAATGGCAAACCACCTCTGCTCATTGAGAGGGCCATGGCTCAGTGGTAGAGCCTCTGCTTGGCATGCAGAAGGTCCTAGGTTCAATCCCTGGCACCTCTAGTTAAAAAGGGCCAGGCAGTAGGTGATGTGAAAGACCTCAGCCTGAGACCCTGGAGAGTTGTTGTCAGTCCAAGTAGATAACATTGGCCTTGATGGACCAAGGGTCTGATTCAGGCATGTTCATGTATTTATCTCTTGCTTTGAAAACCCCTTGAGGTGGAACTTGATGGGGCCATTATGAATCGGATGTGATTTGATGGCACCCTTCACCTTTAGTTTCCATTACAGTGATTGCCTGCCTAGTGGAAATCTCCCTTCTGTGTAAAGTTACACACGCCTGTGGGGGAGGCAATTTTGCTGCCTTGGACCACTTTTTTCCCTCTTTTATCCCGCTGAGATGCCCTAATCATCTCTCTTCTGTGGATCAGCTTGCTTTGTTTTCTTGTACTGCTTCAGGTCCTCTCACAAGCCTGATGGAACTGCGGCTGTGGCTCAGTGGTAGAGCATCTGCTTGGCATGCAGAAGGTCCCAAGTTCAATCCCTAGCATCTCCAGTTGAAAGGACTGGGTAGTAGGTGATGTGAAAGACCTTCACCTGAGACCCTGGAGAGCATCTGCCAGTCTGAGGTCCCTGCCACACGGCAGGGAAAACGATGGTCGAACTGCGGCTAATTCGAGCCGCATCAAAGTTGACACGCCGCGGCGTGATCTCACGGATCCCCCCAGCTGTGGCGCCATCGCTCCCCGGCACGATCAGATGCCGGGGAGAAAGCGACGGTGCAAAGGGGAGCCTGGCGAACTGCGCATGCTCACACATGCGCAGTTCGTCCAGGAGCTGGGGATGCGCCGGCGCAAGGACGCGCCAGCAATCCCACGGCCGCACTTACCGCGGCCCAATCAAAAGAACCACCCAGGTAGGTGGTTCTTTTTTGGTGCGCTGTAAGGGCGGGATGGGACGGATCGGAGACGGTAACACGACGTTCCCCAGATGTTGCTGTGGGATCGGGCCCGTTTGCTTCGGCCCTGATCCGTCCTTCTCCCGGCCCAAATAGCTCATATGAACAGGGCCTGAGTAGACAATACTGACCTTGATGGACCAGTGGTCTGATTCAGTAGAAGGCAGCTACATGTGAGAATTCCATTCAGGGGAGGGACCATGGCTCAGAAACAGAGCCTCTGCTTGGCACACAGAAGGTCCCAGGTTCAATCCCCACCACCTCCAGTTAAAAAGGACCAGGCAGGTGATGTGAAAGACCTCTGCCTGAGACCCTGGAGAGCTGCTGCCAGTCTGAGTTGAAAATACTGACTTTGATAGCCTGATGGCCTGATTCAGTGTTGGGCAGCTTCATGCGTTCATGTGTTTGTGGCACAACTGTGGAGCAAGATGAATGCATTGAGGCATATTTCACGCATACTGCAATGCATTTGATAAGTGTATTAAAGAAATTGATACACCATCATCCTGCATCTGTTAAAATATGTACAGCCATTTTTCACACTTTTCTCGTAGGACCAGGGATCTTTCTTCCATTCGCACGAATGCTACTCCCTGAGATGTTGTTCTCTACTGAAAAGGAAGATGGTGCTGTTGTTTAGATGACCGGCACGCTTGGTCCTTTGCACACACCCACACACCCCTTTCTTGGAAAATGTCAGGCTGATCAGTGCTGGTTAATAATGAATCCAAATATTTGTTCATTTAAAGAGTCGCTCAGGGATAACCGGTTGGGGCTCTCAGCACATTCTTCTCGGAGTCACAGTTTGATGCACAAATAATTCCAAAGCGGGAAACAACATTTTACAGCTTCCCTCCCAAAGAAACACAGTTTGAAACCTAAAACTGATTTCCCCTTTCGAGGTTGAAAGGCAAGCTATATTTTAAAAGAAAAGGGCTTAATGCAGTGACCTGGGTGAACTGTGTCCACATGGAAGGAGACTCCCATAGGACATTACATAGACTTGTTTTTCCATCCTCTACAAAGTTCATGTGCATGGGCACAGAGCAGGGTTGTCTACCCCCAGGTGGAGCCTGGTGTTCTCCCAGAATTGCCGTTGATCTTCACACTATAGAAATCGGTTCCCCCAGAATGCAGACTCCATAGCATCACATCCTCGCTGAGCATCTTCCCCTCCCCGTGCACTGGCACCAAATCTCCAGGAATTTCCCAAGCCAAAGATGGCAACCCTAGCCCATATTCAGGCACTAGTGCCACCACTACAGGCAATAAGAGGCTTCTGTGCCCCTCCTCTATCCCCAGCCATTACAGGAACCAGAAGCTTGTGCATCCCTCTTCTCAGCTTTCACAGGGAGTGAGAGGCTTCTGTATCCCTCCTCTATTCTTAGTCATTACTCAAAACAAGAGGCTTCTGTGCCCCTATTCTGTTCTCAGCCATTACAGGGAACAAGAGGTTTCTGTACCCTTACTCTATCCCCAACCACTGCAGGGAATGAGAGCCTTCTGTACCCCTCCTCTATTATCAGCCATTACAGGGAATAAGAGGTTTCTGTACCCTTACTCTATCCCCAGCTACCCCTCTTCTTTCCACCTACTCAAGCAATGTTATCTAAGGGGAAAAACAGGGCACCACGTGAATGCAAGTGTGGGAAAGTGTGGACTGGTTGAAATGCCTTCTCTCATCTGCAAAGGTCATACATAGATGCAGGGCTATTTTTGGGCAGGAACACACAGGAACGGAGTGCCGGCTGGCTCCCAAGTTGGCCACGCCCAGCAGGAACTCATTCGCATAATAGGCCAAACCCAACAGCAGAAACTCATTAGGATTGGCTACATTAGGGGTGTGTGGCCTAACATGCAAAGGAGTTCCTGCTACACAAAAAGGCCCTGGGTTTTGACAACAAACAAGGTAAACAGAATAACAAGCAAAAGGTGGGTGTGGCTGGATAACCACACTTCTGGTAACATGGGGGTGCGGCCTAATGTGCTAATGAGCTGTGCTGTCAGGGGTGTGGCCTATTATGCTAATGAGTTCCTGCTGGGCTTTTTCTACAAAAAGAGCCCTGCATTGAATGTCATTTTCAACATGACTAATACCTGTATTAGGAAGCTGAGATCGGTTGTATGTTTCCAGTTTCTATAGCATAGACATCTGCATAGCCTCTACATGTGTAAGATTCCCCTCCACAGGTTGTGTGGGGAGGAGTCAGCTACGGCTTGGCCCCTGTGACTTCTGTATGCAGAAATACGCATCTTGCCTTAATGTATCTTGCCCTGTTTCCCTGCTGCCCTCTCGAGGTCTTCTCTAGATTGTTTACGTGAGCCCTGCTCCTCTTACAGCCAGTTTGGTATAGTGGTTAGGAGCGCGGATTCTAATCTGGAAGAACCGGATTGGATTCCGCACTCCCCCACATGCAGCTGCTGGTGTGACCTTGGGTCAGTCACAAGTACTCTCAGAGCTGTTCTCTCAGGAGCAGTTCCCTCAGAGCTCTCTCAGCCCCGCCTACCTCACAGGGTGTCTGTTGTGGGGAGGGGAAAGGAAAGGAGATTGTAAACTGCTCTGGGACTCCTTCAGGTAGTGAAGGGCAGGGTATAAATCCAATCTCTTCTTCTCCTTCTTCTTCTAGATCATACTTCTGGATGAGGCCACAGCTTCCATCGATTCTGAGACTGACACGCAGATTCAGCAGACCATCCAAGAAGCTTTCAAGGACTGCACGGTCCTGACCATCGCTCACCGAATAAACACCGTCCTCGAAAGCGACCGCATTTTGGTTATGGACAACGGAAAGGTGCCGAATCAGATAAGCCGAAAAAGCTCATTAGAGCTTCATAGTTAATCTCTGGCCCAGTATTTTCCAAGCAGTGTGCTCAAGAACCCTGCCGTATCATGAAAGGCATCATGGCTCTTTAATGAGAAAATTCACAATGGCAGATAAGCTGTCCCAAAATTTCATCTCACCCGCCTGTACCAACCTTCCTCTGCATCGTGCACCTGCAGGCGTGCATGTTTGGTGTTCTGCAAGGAACATTATCTGTTGATGTTGTTGGGGAAACAGGCAAAAATACTTAAATAGAGTTTCCAATGGATCTTTGCTTCACTGGAGAAGGAGACCTTGCTGTCTATGAAAAAGATTTATTTCTTAGGGAAGGATTCACATGGAAAGCTACAAAAGAGATATCTAGAGCTACCTCTTTAGATCCCTACATCTACAAACACATGGTCACACACAAATGGAGTTTCTTCTTCTTCTTGGCCCCTAAAAAAGGCACCTGAACACCTGAACCAATGATTGCTAGTAAACAGACTTAGATTTCCCCAGGCTATCTTCCCATTGGCTCTGAAAAGCAGATTAACCCTATACTGACTGGAATCTAGACCTTGCAAGTCCCACATTTCCAACAGATGTGAGGTGGCAGCAAAGGCCAGCATCCCTGGCCAGCCCCATGTGACATGAGCATGCCCGATAAAACATGAACATGAATCAGCAGAAATGTAACCCTTGCACTAAGTATAATGTTATTTGTTGGGACTTTTCCCCTCGGCAGAGCAAATGATTCTCTTGTGTGACCTACTGATTTAATTGATATATAGCCCATTATCTCCTTCCTCCTCTCCTGAGCCAGACCAGTAGGTTGGCTGATAGCCTAGCTGGAGGGCAGGGCGAATGGAGCAAGGGATGCTTACTGGCTGGGCTCAGGTTCCTGACAGGCTATGCTCCTACTTTTTCCAGGTCCTGACTAACTTGAGGTCCAAAAAGCCACGAAAAGGGGGAGATCTTCTTTGTTATATTTTGCAAGTGAATCCAGAACTATTCTCCTCCATGCATTCCACTTCCTAAGTACATTGTTGGTGAAAGTTCTCAAGTGTAGCTGTTTATATATATAGGTATATGCCCTGACCTGGACAGCCCAGGATAGCCTGATCTCATGAGATCTCAGAAGCTAAGCAGGGTCAGCCCTGGTTACTACTTGGATGGGAGACCTCCAAGAAATACCAGGGTTGCAATGCAGAGGCAGGCAATGACAAACCACCTCTGAACATCTCTTGCTTTGAAAACCCCAACAGGGGTTGCCATAAGTCAGCTGTGACTTGACGGCAAATAATCGTTAGGTACGTTTAGATGGACATCAATATTTATGTATTCATTTCTATGTGAATAGTGAGATGCCCTAAACCCAAGG